TTTCTTAGCGGATGCTTACGTTATAAAATAAACCTATGTTCCAAATTTCAGCTTTCTAGGCTCAGTAGTTTTGGCTGTACGCTGATAGGTCAGTCAGTCAGTCAATTTTATATATATAGATATTCAATTTGAAAGGGACTAAATTTTAGATAAATTTCTATTAAAACCTAAAATAAAAAATGTGTTATAAAGAGCATGCAAGGGTTTCGTAGTACCTCACTTTTAAAGTTTATTTTTGAATTTTTCTAAAAGAAAAAAATATGTAGGAAAAGATTAAATCAATGCTCCTCTGAAGAAACTTTTTCACTGTTAAAAAAAAAAATACAAAACTCGACTTTTTTGACCGTACTCTTAATTTTTTTAGAAAAAATTAAATTGAACTTTAAAAAACCGGTTCCAGAGGAGCAGTGGCGATTGGTGGTAATGTAAAAAGGGTGTTCACTTTTCCAATAAATTTATCGTATGTAAGTTCAGTTCAAAAGTACAAGCGCCAATATGTTTTTTTTATTTGGGTTTATATTAAGTGTAGTTATCATTATTATCAATATCATACTATTTGGAAGCACTACAACTATTAATGAATATTTTAGTTATTGTAATATTTATTTTGTTTTTAATATATTGAAAACCATTTATAAACATTATTAGTTATAATCAGCTGACATTTCTTCATATTTTGAAATTATTTTTAAATATATATCAGGTTATGTAGAATACTTGACATTGATTTTGGTGTAAAAAAGATTATATGAAACTTTACCTACCGTATTTCGGTTTTTATTGTAAATTTAATAATTTTCACAATTTATCAGCCATGTCAAAATAATATATTTTTTAAATACCTTTTATTTTTTATTGGCAAATATAAACCAGTGGCAGCAATAAACATTTGGGGGGCCCTCCGCAAAATTATGTGATAATATACATACCAAATGTCAGTAGCGTATCTAGTCATGTTTTTTTTGGGGGGGGGGGGACTCATACAATACATATTATACAAGAAGGAGATAAATGTGAATCAACCATAAAGAGAAAACATACGAAATATGAACTTTGATAGAGGCCTGGGCCCCTTTGGCCCCCTCTAGATCCGCTACTGCTAATTGTTAGTAGCGTCATAAAATTAAAAAATATAAATAATGCAAAAAATATAAAAAATAATGTAAAAAAAAACTTACAAATGCAAAATCTGCTAATCGCAATGTTGCTTTCCCAATCGCTGTTTTTCAAAGTTAAAACATTATTAGTACATTGTTCCAAGTCTAATTTCTGGACACGTTCATGCTCGGTGCTTAATATAGCCAAATCACTAAGTCTTATCGCACCCATAGTACTCCGCAAATAAGTTTTAATGAGTTTCAGTTTCGAAAACGACCTTTCTGCACTAGCGGAGGAAACATGTAACGTTAAAAATAATTGAAATAACGAACAAACTTCGGGAAAACTGCTCAGAAGGAATCTATTTTCTGTTATAAAATACGTTGCTAAATCGTGTATGGTCTTCTTGTTTCGAATTTCGTATGACAAGACGGCTTTGAAGCTTATTAATTCTGCAGCTAAACTTTCAGACAAAAACCATATTAATATTTGCTCAATAATCTATCGGAATATAGAACGATTTCATCATTAGTTAGTTCAACAAACCGGGCAGGAGTTAGAAACGGAAAATGCTTCATGACTTCATTCATGCCGGTATATCATTGTTAGTTGATTCATTAAATATTTGAATTTAGAATCTTCTATTCGAAAGTCAGTTTTAAGTTCATCAAAAAATATCTTGACTTTCTTGTGTCGTTTCGATGTCAGATTTGCTTCAGTGTCCCAAGATTTTGCCAAATTGCAGGATTCCTTCTCCAAATCATTAAAATTTATTTGGTCACATGCTCGTCCAATATCAAAAGTTGAACTTTGCAGGTGATTTGAAACTAAATTTATACTTTCCAGAACTCCACTTTGAAATACAAGAAATAAAATAAAATCTCACTTATTCATTTTATTTTGAATTGTTTTTTGCAAATCAAATCGATCTAGTAGGGCATAGTTTTTTAAGATTTTTGTTAATTTTTCCATTTTTTTTATAGTTTTATTCAACTCCTGCCATCCTGAGAAACTTTGGCTAAAGAACAAATAATTTTATTCCAACAGTCCATAAAAATTTCTGATTTCAGTGATATTTTGCACTGAATCATTTAAAACAAGATTTAGATTATGTGCAGCACAGTGAATAAAATCGGCAGTTGGTACTTTACTTTTGATTCTTGCTTGAAGACCAGAATATTTACCACTCATGTTGGCAGCCCCATTATACCCTTGGCCTCTTCATTTTTACTTTCCTACCTGTATACAGATGAGAAAAGTATAGAAATCATAATTTTCTTCGACCTCGAGTTGTGTGTGTGTGCGTGTGGGTGTGGGTGTGTGCGTGTGTGTGCGTGCGTGTGTGTGCGTGTGCGTGTGTGTGTGTGTGTGTGTGTGTGTGTGTGTGTGTGTGTATGGTGTGTGTGTGTGTGTGTGTGTGTGTGTGTGTGTGTGTGTGTGTGTGTGTGTGTGTGTGTGTGTGTGTGTATGGTGTGTGTGTGTGTGTGTGTGTATGGTGTGTGTGTGTGTGTGTGTGTGTGTGTGTGTGTGTGTGTGTGTATGGTGTGTGTGTGTGCGTATGGTGTGTGTGTGTGTGTATGGTGTGTGTGTGTGTGTGTGTGTGTATGGTGTGTGTGTGTGTATGGTGTGTACGTGTTTGGTGTGTATGTGTTTGGTGTGTATGTGTTTGGTGTGTATGTGTTTGTGTATATATGTGTGTGGTGTGTGTGTGTGTGTGTGTGTGTGTGTCCTCGATAACTCATAACGGATACAAAGAAAAACACCAAATTTTAAACTTAAGCTTTATTCCGTATTCCGACCTCCAGTGAACGAATTATATTTTGGACAGAGTCGGAACATCTGGGGGGTACTTTATGGGTGATTATTTTTATATTTTATGGAATATATCTGTTATTTACGTTTGGAGAGAAAAGTTATTTAAATAAAAGTTACTTACAATATTATTATCTATAATTTTTATTATATATAAAATTTTCCTAAAATGGTCCGTATTCGAGAAATTTGACAGAATGTAAAAAAAGTAATTTGTTTTAAAAATTGTTTTATTAAAAGTTGTTTGTAATATAATTTTCTATAATTTTTATTTTATACATAATTTTTATAAAATGTACCATATTCGAGATATTTGAGAAAATGTGTAAATTTCGAATTTCGAAGAAAACTCGCAAACGGATAAAGGAAAAAACATTAAATTTTTAACTTAAGTTTTTTTTCAGCCTTAGGTGAAATGATTTGATTTTGGACAAAGTTGGAAGATCTAGAGGGGGGGGTGCTTTATGGGAGGCCGTTTTTATATTTTATGGAATATATATTTTATTTACGTTTGGAAAAGAATTTTTTTTAAATAAAAGTTACTTATAATATTATTACCCATAATTTTGGTTCTATACAAAATTTTTCTAAAATGATCCGTATTCGAGAAATTTGACAACATGTGCAAAATTCAGATTTTTAAGAAAATTGTTAAACTAAAAGTTGTTGCGATATCGATCTCTATAATTTTTTTGTTTTTTACATGATTTTTCTAAAATGGGCCGTAATGGAAAAATTGGAGGAAAAGCATTAAATTTAAATTTTTCGGTATTTTCGTTTTTAATGAATGAATGAAAAATGTTTCGAGTTAGATGTATGTGGAAAATGTATATATTTAGTTTATCCTCTTAACATTTATAGAGGTGCTGCACAATAGGTTGTACAAAATAACCTAAAAAACCTATAATAACTATATAGGAAAATCATGTGTTGGACACATCAGATTTTTTTTAGTACTCATAATACAAGTTTTTTATATTAAAATTATTACCAAAAATTACCTTGACTATTTTTGTTAGCACTCATCCAATTCCTACATGACTTAATATAAATATGAGCAGCTCTAATACGATTATAAAATACAAGCAAAACATGGTTCTATATTCACCATAATTTTATTACAATACATAAATTGAAGTAATAAAGACGACAACATAAGAACAACAAAAAAAAATTATTTTAAATATATCACATTAAGTTGAATTAATATTACTTATTAAATGTGTAAGTTCACATTATCTATGCCTGTTGACAATAGCAATTATAGTATATAAACATCGGTAAATATTTAATTAAGTCTTCATGATTTAGGTATATGCCTAACATAGACACACCTATTTAGTTTCTTGAATTAATTTAGCCAAGACCAATATTTATTTTTTATATCGTCTTTCAAAAAAATATAAGTTTAGCTTCCATTTTTTGGTAAATGCATGTGACACCATCATTAGAGTTAAATCCTCACCGCTACATTAGTACCTCTAGCATTTATAAATAGGGTATATTTCTATAACTTCCAATTCATTAGGGACAACCTACAAAGTAAAACAATTATTCATACAAAATTGTACTGGGGTCAAGAAATTATTCTTGTTCGAATAAAAATAAAATTGTCATACTTGTGAAATACCTTCTGGTACAATATACAATGATTTTTTTGCTGGCAACTGCATAAAAGCCTATATTTTGATGGAACTCAGTTATCGCCTTAATTTTAATGGTTTTCCTATAAGACCGATGACATTGTATTTATTTACGCGGTTTTCTGTTTTAGAGTTGAGTATAAAACACATGACTATTTTATAGAAACTGGAGCAAAACAAAATATAAACATAACCTCAAAAATAATAGTATTGGTTTTACATGGAGACGTGTTTCGTTAAGAATCATTGAATTGACACACATACTTCCGATTTATTAAATTCGCAGTTTCATTTTAACACCGTTTTTAAATAAACACAATTAAAATTAACTTACGGTAAATTTTAGAGTTTTGACAGCTTGATTGGACACATTGAAATAATATAAATTTAATAATTATCGTCTACACCTATTCTTTGTTATTACCAAAAATCTTCTTACTTTTACAGAAATTGGAAATATAACAGGTATGCCTAGATTCAAACAAAAAAGCTACTACATCGGTAATGTGTTTACGGTAATACCACCTTTTATCAATTATTTATCCATTTTTAAAGTTTTTGTTTTAGGGTAACTTCTTCAAATCAGAACTCTTTTGTAGAAAAAACGGAATGAATTTAGTGACTATAAATTCCAAAGAGGAAAGCGATTTTCTGCAGAAGATTCTCACCGAAAAAGGTAACGAAAAAAAAACAATAAGAAAATATTGGTCGGGTTTAAAAAGTGATTTGAGTATATTTATAAATTGCTCTTGAGTTTGGGTTTATTTAAAAAAGTTTTGAAAGTTAAGGGTTCGGTAAATTGCTTGAGAGTAGGATATAGTTTTAAAAATTACTCAGAAGTTAATAAATAATTATCTGCCTTTGGTGAATTTTTTCATTTGCTTGCCATTATTTATAGTGATGCCGCGAGACAAGAGATTCTCGTCTCGTGAGACGAGACATGACATTTTCTCTAGAAAAAAGATTCGAGACGAGAGAGTGTCATCTCTCGACGAGAATTTCTCGTTTCTCTCGAGCTCTTTCGAGTTCTCTTGCGCAATTAACTTTTTACTTCTTTCAAATTTTCAATTACTTATCGTAACTTAAAATTTAAAAATATCAGATTTCCAGACAGTCAAAAAGTTAACTATAAAACACCTATTCTATATACACAGTGAGTTTTAAGTATGGAACGCCTCAGTTATCTCGGAAACGGCTTGCACGATTTTTATTTATGATGACCTGTCAAATTCGCCCCGAAAAAAGCGCTCCGACAAAAGCGCCCCGACAAATGCGCTTCCCGACAAAAGCGCCCAAGACAAAAGCGCCACCCGAATTTTCTTTGTATAATTTTTAACTAACCAACGGACAGAATCGTAATAATTTCCATGCAGTCAAATTTTTCGGAGGTTACTTTTGGAGATAAATTAAAAAGACAATTTTTAAGTGTTTTTTCGAAAAACTGTCAAAGAAAAAGTAAAAGAAACGAACGTATAATATATTGTTAACATGCTTCTAAATGCTTTTATTTGATATCACCCGAAAAAAATTCTAACTTCCAAATGAAACCCTACCCCCTCCCAACTGACTTCTAAGACAAAGTATTTATAGCAGGGGCAGAAGTTGGAAAGTCTTTTGCTAGTTCTTCCGCTTCATACACATAACTTGACAGGTTTGCGACGGATCTAACCGAAGTGGACGCGATACATTGGCGTACAAAATTATTTTTTAGACGTTAATAACAATTTCGAGTAAATAGTTTAATAAATTGTGAACAGCTGGTGAAATTGTGTAGAATTATGATTTGGGTATTATAATACATGTTTAATAATTATTTATAGTCCATAAATACATGTGATTGTCCAGTTCTTATTCTATGAAACGACACTGGCAGGTAAACATCACTGCAAATTTCTCGAAGTCGTCCGACGTGGTTTGATGTTTACCCCCTCTCTACCTATCAAAGGCCTTTCCAACTTCTGCCTCTGCTATACATTCTTAGTTAACGCCCAATTTGGGCCACTGATTACTTTAAATTTCAATTGTTTATGTCAAACAGTGTCTAAGTAAAACGATTGTGACAGATGGACAGGCGGAGAGATACCAAGGTAATTTCCCCAAGTGTTTCTTATTGCCAATTTGGGTACTGATGAAACAAATTATTTGAAAAATTATTTGTTATTGTCTTCAAAATTTTATAGTTTTTTCATGTTTCGTCCTAAGTATATATTTTCCAAATTTAAATTTGATATGTTTTTATCACGAGAGAAACGAGACGAGAGAATGGTTCTCTCGAGCGAGAGAAGCGCCTTCTCGTCCTACGAGACGAGAGAGGCATCTCTCTCGTCTCGCGGCATCACTAATTACACTGACGAACATTTCAAAAAATTTTTCCTCCCTGGAATGATTTTGGCTGGATTTTATAGATTTTGACCTGCTGAATCCGGATCTGGCCTCAGATTTTCGATATCAGCCTCCAATGATAAGGGAGGGACATATGCTTTAATATTAAGAAAAAGTCAATAAAAACCCCTTTCAAAGCCGATTTATTAAATTTAAACAATTAAAAACCTATAATATATTTTATTAACTGTTAGCTTAGGTACAGTATAAACATTTATAAATAATTTAAAATTTAATATTTACTTCCATAAGTCGTTCTTTTATAAGAACTCCTGGATGTGTCTCGCATTAAGGTCCAGCAATAGTCGGCTAACATATTCGGGCTCCACTTTCCTGTATACCTTTTCTCTATGGAGGCAATATCTTGGTGAAATCGTTCTCCATGCTCATCTGATACTGCTCCTAAATTTTCTGGAAAAAAGTCCAAATGAGAATGGAGAAAGTGAAGTTTTAGTGACATGTTGCATTCTAAAATATGATAGGGCGTGAGTAGTTCTTCCACGAGTTCACGATAATTTATTATTTCCAAGAAAATTGTTGCAAACACTTTCAAATGCATTCCATGCCCGATTTTTATTGTCACTTAAAATTTGCCTGAAGTTCGCATCTTTAAACAATTGCCTAATTTGGAGACCAACAAAAATTCCTTCTTTAATTTTGGCCTCACTTATACGTGGAAATTTGTCTTTTAAATACTTGAAAGCATTTCCTTCTCTATCCAGTGCTGTAACAAAATTTTTGATCAGACCATCTTAATGTGAAGTGGAGGTAAATATATTTTTTTCTTTCTGAACTAATGGTTCTCGGGTCAAATTTTTAACGCCAACTTGTATTGTGTCACGTGGAGGCCAAACCTTAATTTTATAATGTTTGTCTCTTGCTCGGCTGTCCCATTCACACAAAAAGCAACAGTATTTTGTACATCCTGATTGCAGTCCTGTCAGTAACGCCACCACTTTTAAATCTGCACATATGTTCCATTTGTGATCTTCGTACTTTACGCATCTTAGTACCATCTTAAGATTGTCATATGTTGCTTTCATATTTACCGAATGACCTATAGGAACCGATGGATGCTCGTTTCCATTAAAAAGTAAAACAGCTTTTAGACTTGTTTTAGACGAATCTATGAATAGTTTCCATTTATCGGGAGTATATGGTAAGTTCAGTTCGGTCATTAGGCTAGGTATGTCATGGCAAAATACTAAATCACCTTCCACTACAAAAAAATTTGTGAGAGTAGATTGCCTTTTCCTGTAGATGGACACCTTCACTCCTTTTTCCAAGAGCTTCCACTGCTGCAGGCGGGGTCCGAGAAGTTCAGCTTTTGTTTTCGGGAGGTCCAAGTCACGAACAAGGTCATTTAATTCACCTTGAGTGATTAAATGGGGTGTATCAGGCAAATCATGAGAACTAGGGATGTAGCTTGATCCGGCTTCTGGTGAAATAATTCCGGAGTCTGATTCGGAATCAAGCGTGTAACTCTGAGGTGGCTGGGGAATGGGGGTAATGAGTTGTCATGGGGCACTGGTCGCATTGCAGAAGGAATATTGGGGTACTGAATGCTACGCTTGGTTTTGTTAGTAATTCCTTTAATATTCGTCATACAAAAATAACAATCATCTACGTGATTACGAGGTTCCCTTTAAACCATGGGAACTGCGAATGGCATAGATTTATGATGAGTACCTTTCACCCATCCCGTCAATGTTCTCGAGCACGAACTGCAACACATTTTTGGGGCCCAGGGGTAGTATTCTCGAATCTCGAATACCGACATTCGCATACGTGTTTTACAATGTGTCTCACTTTGTTAAACGAAAACCAAGTGAGACAAATCATAAATCTCGCATGCGAATCTATATTCGTGACTCGAGAATACTACCCCAGGACCTATCTTGATCGCCAAAGTACAGTTCATAAGCCTTTTTTACTAATGAAGTATCGGTTTTCGGTACGCTTTCGCGGTAACTTCGCCACAAATATAATAGAAGCTATCGGCTTTATTAACGCAAAAGCGCATCGACATTATTGGTACCGTTTTAGCACGCACGTAGATCTAAGCAAAAATATGAATAGATGTTTACTAAATGCAAATAACAATGGGGCGACCGTTTATTACCTATTAATGGGCCTATTCGACCCTTCCAAGAAATCTGAGGCCAATATAAACATTTGGGGGTCAGTTGTATATTAGTTTAAGTCCAAATGTTACAAAATACACGATATTTTTATAAAGAGGATTTTTGTGTTGAACGGTGTTATTTATATGGCACATATCTCTAAGGCAGAACCGCTATTTGTTAGATCTGATGCAATTATGGAAAAACTTATTTTTAGGTGATGATATCGAAAATTTTTGGATATCAGCCACGAGATTTCTAGACGTCAACATAACAAATGAATGTACGAAATTGCCAATTCCCTCCACTAACGACTGGATATGGTTCACTACCGGTGAACGCATTACCTATTTCAACTGGCACATAGGAGAACCCAACAATATTTATCATCATGGTGAACTTTGTGTGGATTTGAAAAAAGACAATAAAATATGGAAATGGGTCGATAAAACTTGTTGGGACAAGATAAACTTTATTTGCGAATACACTTGGACTAAAGAAGACATACAGGGTAATTCAAAAGAATCGTCACAGTATTTAACAGATATTTATTAATATGTTTATGTATTTCTGATTAAAAACTTTCTACCAAATGGATGACCAAGTTCTTGAAAGACTTTCAGTTTCCAGCCAATCTTTAAAATATACCTAAATGGAGCTATAAAACTGATTTATTTGTATTTGTAATAAAGAAAAATAAATAATTTATTTCCAAAATAATAATTATTAATTAGAGTGATTGAACCAAATATGCCTTTAAAAATCTTTTTACAATTGATGTAGAATCTGACAGTCTTTAAAAATTGTTTGGTAGGTTGGTATTATTACAATTTGCTAAGAATTTCTCTATCGATTTAGAAATTACTGAAAATTATTTCTTTAAAATTCCTCAAGAGTGTGACAAACATTGCTCAAAAGATTGATATTGTAATAAATTGCTAAAAGTTTGTATATCTTTAAAAATTACTGGTGATTTAAAAAATTGTTAAAACTTTTTAAAAATCGTTCATAAAATTGTTCGAGTTTTAGAGACTTTCGGTAATAAAAAATAAATCGGCAGGTTTTGCTTCTGAAATAATTGTAGATACCTATATGTCTGCCAAAGTTTTAAAGTTTTGTTTGATAAATTAAAAGTATTTTGCTCTCGGATATTAACATTTTAAAAGGTTTGTATAGTTATAAAGTTTATATTTTTATTTATGGTATTACAGAATTTCGATTATTTTATGCATAAAGGGACTTATGAGGTTTAAGTGCTGTGGAGCATATATATTATTAAAGAGGTTAAGTAGTGTGTACACACTGGGTAATAAGAAATGAAGTGAGAGGGTATTTAACTGAGAGTAGTCTCAACATACGAAGCTGGTGAACACATTAGATATCCAGATAAGTCTACTCTTGGACATCATATTAAATTCAACAATCATAACTTCACTCCTTCTGAGAATGTTGCTATTCTTCATAATATTTTTAATTGCATCTTTCAACTAAATCTGCTTGAAAACCTTGAGATACACAGAGTTTAATAAACCAAATGTCACATGTGTTAACACTCAAATCCATCTCAATAGCAAAGTGCCTCCTCTCTTTAAGAGTATTGGCAACAGTTGGTCTGAAGTTACCTAGTCAGCTTCGCCTTGAATCTTCTTGCAGCCGAATTGATCTTATATTTTCCAGCGATTGCTGATTTCGTGGCCAGGACGGTTTTTCCTTCCATTTTAGCTGCAAAAGGTGGTCTGCCTGCGACTTCGGTTTCGCTGGGGCCAGCTTGCTCAATTCTGTTGTTTTCAGCTTGGCACCTTTTTAATTTTTAATATTTTTTGAAAAATATGTTTTTTACCTTCATTTACTGTATAATTTATTTAATTCATTGTAATCATTTGCTGTTTAAAATTTAAAAGTCCCGCCATAACTTGATCTTGCTTGCTCAGTGGTACCAAGCCACTTTTATCTTTTTCAATATCAACCGTTTTGACAATTTTTCACGAAATTCATTTCAATTCCTTGAGTTGGCATTTTGCTTGACAACATCATTGTCAATTGTCACTCATTCTGTTTTGGGCCAATGAACTGGGGCTCGATTCTCGAGATCATTGGAAAATTTTCCCATGAGAAAATATTCCACTACTTATATTCCCATGGTAATAGGTTATGCAATTCTCGAACGTGTCGGAATAGACATTCCCATGGAAATAGTAGTTTCACGTATGTCTGATATTAAGTTCACGAATATTTCGAAACAACCAATAACATTAAAGATATTTTAAAATTTACTGTTGGCAATATTTGTATTTGTTGTGGTTTTTGGGTATCCGATTACCTGCCGAGCCTCCGCGCTGGAGCAGATGCCGTGCCGAGCAATCGTTATCATGATCGAGAATAAGTGAAAATATTCGATTACGTATAATAATTAAAACTTGTCGAGTTATTCTTAGTTTTTCTTTTCTCATGTTGAAAAAAGAAAAGGTAGCTTTTGTATGGAAGAGCAACGAAAGTTTTGAGACACTAAGAAATTCTTTCATTAACGAAAATAATAAAATTTTCGAAAAGGTCTTTACTACACTCAATTTGTATTATTTGCCAGTCCCTTAGCAGCTCCCACAATTTCTAAATGATTTAGGAAAATCAGTTTATACAGTTTCTTAGTGAAAGAGAATTAAAAATAATATACCTACATAAATAAAATAATATCAATCTATAAATACGCCAAAAAAATGTTTTAACTAAAATTTCACTAAAAATCCAAGATATCCAATATCCAATAATCTTTGGTTATGTCTTAGACTTTCGCGTGGTCTTTCGTCAAATTTTCGACTTTAATGCGCAAACTCTAGTACAATTCCCATTGGAAAATACAATTTCCAATGCTCGTAAGCAGGGGAATATTTTCCCATACTTCTCATTGGAAAATATTCCACCGCTTATGTCGAGAATACGAAAACTGAATTCCCATGGGAAAATTTTATTTTCCCATGGGAATAAAAGTCGAGAATTGACCCCCTGGAGTGGGGTAGAAAGCCAATGTGCATATTGTATCAATAGAACAATATGCGACTCTATGGGCGCAGCCATTTTTATTTATCATCTCATTCGAGAGTATTTATAATAACCATTTTCTGTTTCACATTGTTATTGTTCAATCCACAAGCTGGTGGATCAGGTGGTTGTTATAAATACTCCCGAGTGAGATGAAAAATAACCTGTCTTTGCCCTTAGAGTCGCATGTCAAGCCTATTGACAAGCATTCTACCCCACTCCAGTTCATTGTTTTGGGCACATTGTTAAGATGATCACTGGTTTAAAAAAACCCTGTGCGTATTTTTTTGTACCTCCAACTTGCATTCGCCTCACGAAAGCAATTGGCAAAATCTTGCTGCCTTCATGTGGAAGGAGTTTCTTGTTCTCCGTAGTGTCGGGAGTGTTTAGTTCTACATGGTCGAATGAACCTCCACTTCATTTGTTAAAATTTAACCACATTTTACACTCGGTCAGTTACCGAATTTCGATGTGGTTTTTCAATTATCTAAGCTGCAAGCTATGGTAGAGATTTGGGACTGGTCTGTTGCTGTCCCTTATTAATTTAGTTTACTTTTTCATTTGTCTTTAAAAGTTTTTTTGACGAGTAAACGCTTAGACGAAATATTTTATAGAGTTTTATTGAATAAAACTCAATATTCACACACTTTAAATACCCTCTCGCTTCATTTCTTATATATATATATATATATATATATATATATATATATATATATATATATATATATATATATATATATATATATATATATATATATATATATATATATATATATTGTTATGTTATCAAAACACCCTGTGTTATAAAATAATAATAAAACTAATAATAATAATAATAATAATATAATAATAATAATATAGTAATAAATAAAAATTAGTCAATAAAATTTATATTTGTGTATAATAAAGAAAAAATATATCATCCTGTACACTAAATTTAATTTGAGGGAGAAATGTCAAAGTAATTTGATAAGTCAGAGATATCCGAGGAGACGGGGATATTGATAGGAAGGTTGAAAGACATCAGACGGGAATCAATTTTTTCGTGAAAGAATATTTAAAAAAAATTACCTAAATTTAGAGCCGCAGTACATTTAAATTTGTTTAAAAAAGTTGTAATATTTAATAACAAATTAAAAATAGACAAATTGTATATCACCTCAATTGTACACTTAAAGTAAACGGGTGAAGTTATATGGGAATCTATTATAAACTGAATAGTGAGAATGCAGACATATTAGTCAGAAGTTTTTGGATTTGAAGATGATAGAAGAAAGGACATTTTACTGTGAGTAAACAGTTTTGTTATAGTGAAAGAGCATAATAGACAATTTTGTTATCACTAATTCAATAAACTATATTTGCTTTTACAATTGAAGATAAACCATTAGAAGATTAGAATTAAGTAAATTATTTATAATAGTTACATTTTGGAAAAGTAAAACGTCAAAATTTTTTTTAATTGTCACATTGAAATTTAGTGGTTAGTAAGTGTATATGGTGATGGATGTATGATTAGAGTAATTTAGTAAGTTAGTATATAGACAATATTGTAGATTTTTCAGAAATTTAAACGTTGTTACAAATTACTTTTAATAAATTGGAACTTGTATTTACAATTCGTCTATTAAAAAAAAAAATATTTTAAAGGATAACTCTGACGATGGTAATTAAAAGCAACATATAATTTAATTGACTAATTAATATATAAACCACATCCTTAAGCTTAACTTTTTATATAGAACATAAAGCTCAATCCATTTATTTAGATATAAAAATAAATAATTCAAGGTATCTTATTGTTAGAATTGTTGCTGTTATTATTTAATAAATAAAATAAATAAACTAAATAAACTAAATAAACTAAATAAACTAAATAAACTAAATAAACTAAATAAACTAAATAAACTAAATAAACTAAATAAATTAAATAAACTAAATAAACTAAATAAACTAAATAAACTAAATAAACTAAATAAACTAAATAAACTAAATAAACTAAATAAACTAAATAAACTAAATAAATTAAATAAACTAAATAAACTAAATAAACTAAATAAACTAAATAAACTAAATAAACTAAATAAACTAAATAAACTAAATAAACTAAATAAACTAAATAAACTAAATAAACTAAATAAACTAAATAAACTAAATAAACAAAATTAAATAATTAAATAAACTAAATAAACTAAATTAAATAATTAAATAAACTAAATAAATTAAGTTTATAAAGTATTTCATTTCTGGAACCGACACCACTGGGACAAAGAGAATCTGCTCTATAAAAAAAAATTATATTAAGAAGCTAGCCGAGGTAAGATAAGTTTATGAAATTTTTTTTTGTAACTTGTGAGGTTATGAAGTGTAAGTGTATATATCATAACAAATGGCGCCCAACGTGGGGCCCTCCACTTAAAGTTGGATAATCATGGTCAGCAAAGCCACTTGCAGTAGAACCGCTTTGTGGGTGTAGGTTCATAAAATCTAGTAGCCTAGGAGAATTATTGTCGAGTAATAATGAATTATCGATATTTCTAGAGGCCAATTCCATTTTTTGTACTTGATTTTGTGTTGCGTCCATTCGTTGAATATAGGAAGATGTATTCATTTTGGCGGCGTG